GCCGGCTGGCAGGGGTGAGGGCGAAGCGGGGCGGGCAGTGGAGGGCCCCTTCGGCTCTGCGTTTCCTTCGCAGCCCGTTCCAGAAGGATCGGTGCTGGGAAGGCAGCAGTTGCATCGCTGAGACGCTGCCTCCTTTCATGCAGTGGAGGGTAACCTAGATCGGTTCTTTTTGTCAGCTGAAGCGTAGTTACTTGAAAAATCGTATTTACATACCAGGTAAGGCTCTAGGAAAAGCAATTGCAGAATGTTAAAATACGCTGTTCTGCCATAAGTGCTGGCTTTTCAACAGCAATTAGAAAAATGCATTTAAAACCCAAATACAAAGGCACTTACATTAACAGCTGCTTCTGTGTTTGTTTGTTTTTCTTTAAGCAGAGCATCGGTCAGGAATACGCTCTTCAAAAGTGGAAAGAGCCCATTCTACAATGATGAATGCCGACATGGATGGTATAAGTTCTTAATGTTCTTGTTCACTGCTGTTTTTTATACTTGATATAATTTCCAGCTGTTACAGAGGTTGCATTAAAACTCATATGATTTGTTGCAGCTATTGAGGCTGAGAATCAGGTGGAATTAGAAGAGAAAACACGGCTTATTAATCAAGTTTTGGAACTGCAGCACACACTCGAAGGTTAGCAGATTGACACATCAGATTTTTTACGAGCACACAGTAATAAGCAAAAGAAGAGAACCTTACTGTTCTGCCCTATCTTACTCAGTGCCCAGAAGTAAGTCACTTACACAATTGAAGGTGCATAAGCAAGGTCTCACAGCTATTTTTTTCCCCCTCTTTTGTGCAACTCTACTCTCGTAATACGCATCAATCAAAAGGGTCAATATATACTTCAGCAGGCTCATTAGTTGACCTACATCTTTGTGTCTGCTCATCACTGAACTTTTGTTGCCCAGTAGTTTAGCTTGCATAGAGCACAATTAAAAAACTCAAGCAGAGAATAAAGATACAGACTAACAGTTAGTTTGTCAAAATATTATACTACGAAGTAATGTAGAAAAAAATGGGCTTTAGATAAAACTTGAGTAGCAGAGTGTTTTGTAAGCTAATACCTTATGGCAATGTTTCCTGCATTAAAAGTGAATAGTATGATGTAGGCACACAGAACAGTCACTACTGTATGCTATAGTGTCTAATACTTTTCTTATAATGTCACCTTCACAGATCTCTCAGCACGAGTAGATGCTGTTAAGGAAGAAAACTTGAAACTGAAATCAGAAAACCAAGTTCTTGGACAGTATATAGAAAATCTGATGTCAGCATCTAGTGTTTTCCAAACAACTGACACAAAAAGCAAAAGGAAGTAAGGGTTGACTCACAGATTATGTCATTGTATTGCTGCTGTCTTTTGTTTGTTTGTTTGTTTTAATTGGCATAGGCTACATGAGCCAAAATACCTTAGTTTGTGGCTTTACTGGTTACCTGAAGATTATAAACTTTGGTGATAAACAGAATTAAGAACATTATGATGAACAGGAGACATAGGTTTGTGTATTGTTAAGACTAAGCAACATGCAAATGTAGTGTAGAGACTTACTAAGCTTCCATATTTGTTTTAAAAGTGAGCATATCTTGTTAAAAATTGGATTCAGTTTGTCAGGTTAAACAAAAGCCTGTTGGCACTCTTTGAGGTCTTAGGGTAGTGTTCTTGACTAGCAAAATAACACAGTTACAATATTTGGTTGAAACCTCATTTGAGAAAAATACTCAAAGTCTAATTGCCTTACCTTTTTCACCTCACATATATTTACACTACTGTATAGTGCTGTCCATAGCTCTGCAAAGCAGCTTCAAACAAAACCCTATAAACCAGTTAAGAATTTCTGTGAAGTAGTAACAGTATGACATTATTTGCAGGGCTTGTGTACAGAAAAACACTCCAGATTTTTTGGAAGGGGAGAAGGTAAGGGAAGAGGAACAAGGATAAGCAACTTAGATTAGGGAAATGCCAAACTGCTGCAGTATCAGAGTGTTTGTAAGGTGTACACTTGAAACCATTTTCACTTTCCTGTTTCCTCAGAGAATGATTAGGCACGGCATCGTGATGTGCGATCTTCCTCAAGTGTTTCAGTTGGGTGAGGAAGAGTTAAATAAAAATAAGCTTTACAGAGACAGGTGGTCAGCAACGTTCCTTATGCTCTGAGCAGTCTGCAGTGAGGAACTGAGAGCAATTCTTTCCTTGTCACCTTTTACTTTCCTCCTGAAGTGCCAAACTTGTCTTTGCCTCAGGCCTTAGAGCAACTGTTTTCCTGCCCCAGAGCCTGAGCTTGTGAAGTACTTCCAGGCACTGCACAAAAACATCTAAGGCAGAGAAGACTGCAGCAGAACAAAGGTGGCTGTAGCCTCTCAAATCTGTGCTGCTCTGAGCAGTGCCTACTGTCATGGTGCCCTGTTTTTTACTGGCTTGGCTGTTTGTTAGCAGGGTTTGTGAAAGAGCTCAGCCCAGATGGTGGGTCTAAGGACTTCCCATGGAGGCAGCATAATCAGTGTTAAGGGCGAGCAGAAGCTGAAACACAGACAGGGAGGTAAATTTTAGCAGTACTCGGTTGCATCTGTTTCATCTTGCCGTACAGCAGCATTGCAGACTTACGGATGTCACCTAGAACTGAGGTCTGTCTCTTCAGTAATGAAGCCATTGTGCTTTGCCTTTTAACAACAGGAAGCCACTACTTCAAGGCTCTTTCAGCCCTGCTGTGAGGAATTCTATAAACGAAAGCTGAAGGAACTGAATGAGTGGATGCAATAGTAGAAAATAAACCCCTCTCAAACCCCAAGTTTCTTGGCAGCTAAGTACTGCTGTGTCTGACGTGTAAGCTGACACTGAGGTTCCCCCCCTCCCATGGGAGAGGTCTCCCATTTCTCCCCATTTAACATGGCTGGAGTGTCAGCAAAATCCAGTGGTTACCAAGCACTAATGGTTCGGTCTTGAGGGCGGTTTACAAGTCTGAGTCAAGAAACCCGACGAAGAAAATGTTTTACCCACCGCAGCACAAATGGCTGAAACCATTTGTGTCATGGGGGCCTGTAAACATCAAAAATAACTTTTAATCTATGGACTGTTCGCTCACTTTACTGCCCATCTGGAGCTCTGAATTCATCCACGAAGTGCTAGCAGGTACAGCAGAACACAGTTAGTCCAGGGTTTGAGCATCAAAAAAGAAAAATCACACCAAGCACTTGACTTCTAAAGATCACATTACATTACAGCCCCCTCCTTAGCTTTACAGCCACGTCACTGCACAGCTCCACGTGCACTGCAGACCAAGTGGTAGGAGAGCATGCGCTTGTTAGGCTTCAGCAATTTCCCCTGATCAAGTAATCTTAAAATAATGGGTTTGTATTGTAAGATCAGATCGTGGTATTTTATTCATCAGTGTGTATATAGTTATTTCCTACAGATACCATTTTACATCCCACTACTGTGGCCTTCATTTAACTTATGAACATTTTAAATATGTTGTATTTCTGACTATACACTAAATAAAAACTTTGGATTTGTCTCAATTAGTTTGCTTTAACGTGTAAACCTGAAATTTCTCCTGTCTGTAGTCGAAAGGTGGAAGAGGAGTAGGGTTTGCCATCATCCTAATAATTTCTACACAGCTGAAGTGTCTGAAACTCAGACTAGATGTAATTAGCAATTATGAAAATTAAACCTGGGCTAATGAATCTACTTTCAGCAAGCTTCCAGGTCCTGACTCACCTGGTATGTTCACCCGTGAATCTTACATTTCTGTATACTTTTCCATCCTGGCTAAAGGGAAAAGGAAAACCACAAGGAAAAGGGAGGCTGCATCCAGTGTTGGCAAAGCTAAAACTTGCACGTCTCCACGTGGGAGAACTTTAAGCCAAGTTAGAAGAGATTTTACCCTTTCCTACACAGATGATGAGCTCTACATTAGATGGAAACCAGAATTATTACTTCATCATACCTTCATGAGGGTGGATGCTAATTGAGGAGGAGCTTCAGTTGTAATTAAATTAAAAGGCCCTGTCCTACTTGGTCTTTCCTGAATACAGAAAATTCTCAGTCTGGGATTTGGCATCCTCAGTGAGACCGCTTTAAGTTACGATGAAGTTGGTGGGAGTGCAGGCTGCGGAGGTCTGACGGAGTTCCAGTACTCATGGAGTCCCAGAGATGGCTGACGGCTTGAATAGCAAGGCATCCTGGAAGGAGGTTGTTACTAGTTCGTTAAATTCAAAGCACTTCCAAGCAGCCATGAAAGCAAGATTAAGTATTCTTCCCAAAATACCTGTTCGTATATAAAAGGACTGCGCGCCCAGGAACTGAGGGTGAAATCTCAACGTTGCAAGTATCAGTGGAAGGAGGTTCCCCTTTTGCCTGGCTTTCTAGGTCTAGAGCTTCAAATCCCTAGATCTGAGTAAGCTGATGGGCAGAAGGATGTCTTCCATCTCCAGCTTCCAGGTAATCAAAGTCTTTAAGTCAGTACTGAAGTGAGGTAGGCCTTACAGCATCAGTATCATTGCAAACAGCACCCTTGAGTCATGGCCTTGCAAGAGCATTTTACCCAGAGCAAGTAGCTCCTTATTTACTGAAGTGAGGTACAAGCAAAGATGTCAATGGACCATTAATCAAGACTATATGGGAACCTTAAGTTCAAAACCCTAAGGAAAGACTAGCATCCTGTGTGGAGTAAGCAATCTATATCACACCAAAAAAAAAACAGACCACCAAACCCCAAGCCCCAAAAAAACCCAACAAAAGCCCACAAACAAACACCAAACCCAAAATCACACCCAAATGCTGGAACAACTCCAAAGGCCTTTTACCAGGCTGAGTCAAGGTTCATTGGAAAGGAGTGCCAACACACTCCTTGACAGCTCACAGTAGCTGTTACTAGCAGGATACTGCGTTGGCAGCAACTTCTGCTGAAAAGTCACAGGCAGGAGGAAGAATCTGGAGTCTTCACTTCTTACCTTTTGCATGGAGACCCTAACTAAAGCGGAGAGAACTTGCATTTAACTTAAAAAAAAAAAATAATCCCCAAACTTGAAAAAAAACCCCAAACCAAATGAAAAGAGAGCCCTTTTCATGTAGCTCACGTAAAATAGAGTCCAATATAATTAACTGTTAGAACACTTGAACACAGCACTGGCTTCTTCATTAGGGTTAATTAAGCATCTGTTTGTTAGAAAATTCCATGAAATCTTTGCTGACTCTATCTGCTGTGAAAATAACAACTTCTTGCCCAGCACGAGGAAATCGGTTAGGTTCCTTATGAATTGATGGATTTCTACTTGTTTTTAATGTATGACTGCTTTTGTAACATTTTACATCCTACTAATACTACAGGCAGCTGCCAAGCAGCAAGAGGTTTCTGGTGACTGCAGTTTTATTGTTTGTTTTAATATACAGCTGAACTTTAACAAAACAAAGTTTCTTTTACAACAGGCAGTTTATTTAAACTATATTATGAGAATGCCCAGTTACTCACATCTGTAAAAAACACAATTCATTAAAAATTCTTATCTATATTAATAAATTTCATGTTAAGCAAGAATTATTTAATATTTTTAGGAGGCAATGTACATGTAGCAAGGACTCTATAAACAGAGGTTATACCACTCTGGCTTGGAACATAAGAACTAGAAAAGTTTGGAAAAAATCATCTGTATATCACTTCTGCAGATTTGGTATCTGCATTCAGAAGTAAAACAAGTCACATCAATTACTACTTGTTCTATGAGTATTCTACTTTAAATTATCTCTTAAAAATACATGACTTGAACCAGTGTCTAAAGCGAGCAGGTGACCACCCATGTAACAAGACCAACTAAAATAAATAGTTTACAATAAAAATTGTTGCTAGCACTAAATCATCATACAAACCCAATTATTGCATTTAGCTCTGCACAGGAAAAAAACCCACCTTTTCTCACAGCAATGTGAACTGCTAGAGATGCCAAATCCATACTATCCTCCTCTTTCAGCTAAGAAGTGTAAACAGTCGGTTCTGTGCTACAGCTGCAAAAATATTGTAATTAATTCACGGTTTTAAACTATATGTAGAGGAAGTTGATCTCCAACTAATACTGAATTTGAAACATCAGCTATTTCTCCTTAGAAAAGGGAATTGGGGGAGTTCAGAAAGGTTAAAAGAGGTTAGAGAAATAAAATAGGGGGTTAAGTAGCAATGAGTCCCCCTTTTTCCTTCAACTCCCAGAAACTTGCATGCTGTCAGGCCCACTGAAGTGACTACCAGAAGTTCCTGTCATCTAGACCTACAACCATTAGCTGGAAGTAACTCAGTCCTTTCGTACTCTTCTTTTGCGCACTGATTTCAGTGGACCACCTCTATAATCTGTGCTTTCATCATCTTCTTTCATCTGGAGAAAAAAAAAAAAAAAAATCAGCATTAAAATTTTACACCAATTTTAATCTTTATTCCTCCTCCTGACACACCACACCCCGCCCCTGTCATATCATCACTACATGCACCACTTAAGTGATCGGGTATTTTTTTCCACAACACTAGTCTAACGATAAATAAAGCAGATGGAAAGCATTTCCTTTCTGTATTCGGAAGGAAGATAATAGTACATCTAAACTGAGGTCAGAAATTTCCTTTTGCCCATTTATTCACTGGTATAAAAGTGGTGTCTTTTTAATGAATTTAGTAACTTCCTCTAAGTGCATCCTATGCTAATTTTCCTTGCCGCTTCTAAAGCAAGAAACATGCACAACATTCTGATGCCTTTGGAGAGCTGGAAACAGAACACACCGTTCTTCACTCAGATGTGTTCTCAATTTAAAAGCGATGAGCTTAGGGGCGCATGAAAAGCCTCTCCAACATGAACTCCATTCTTAGACAACGCACGGCTTCCTCACTTTCCTGCATCACCTCATGGTAAGCACCTCATTCATCCCTGAGGAACAGCTCAGAGAATGTGGCGCAACCTGAGCAAGGACATGTGTGCGTGACACCTCCCATGTAAGTCACTAGCTACCTCTTGACAGAAACTTGTCCACCCCGAAAACACACAGAGAAGAGCAAGCCATAACCTCACTGTGACACTACGGAATGGCACACAGACATGCAGATCTCCTTGTGACTTTCACAACGAGTCATGTGCATCTTAGGGGGGGTCAGCAGATACTGTATTCTTAAGAAAAGGTACAAGGGGAAAAAACCAAAACCTGCTTACAGGAACAAGAGGAAGTACTGAATAAGGGGTAATTAATGAAGAATTTCAGTGCAGAAATAGTGCAACCTCATGCAAGGTACACTTTCCTAGAGGAGTTTTATAGGAAAAGGAGTTAGCGTTACATTAAACAACTCCCCTAATCTAAGAATGGACTCATTTAGGGAGTGACAAGCCCTAGATGGCCAATAGAAATGCTGTGGGTGGATCTAAAGCCTTCCAGACACACCAGAGCTTCTAAATTAAAAGATAACGAGTAGTTGACGAGCAAGAAAAACACACACGAATTCCACTCTGCAATGATATTTTCTGAAAAACATTTTACGGATGATCTGGTGACTGGATTAATCTGCACAAGATAAATGAAACTGCAGGTGCTGAATTCAAAACCACTATGGTCGTTTTGCTGAAAACGTTATTTTGGAATTAAAAAGATAACTGAAAGCTTAAGGTTTTTCTATGTCTCTTGGAAAGGCTATTCAGTTACAAGCACATGTTCCATCAATTAAGTAGCATGATAAAAAGAGACAGGCATCTACTGCAGCATCCAAAAGACTTGCAATTCATTTAAAATCCTGTTAAAAATGATACTCTTGTAAAAACATTTAATGTTTAGAGGCCTGCATGCACACTTCTATCCTATACCTGTATTTTACAGTATCACCTCCTAGCCAAAATTACACAGGAAGACACATGCTTAACAAACCTATACGGAGCATTTGAGGGGTCAAACTCAAATAAAAACCATCCCCACCTCATGGTTTGTCCCATGGTTCACAAGAGAAAAACTCTTTTTGTAGGTAACCAGGCTTAGTTAGAAGTGTGATGTTGGACAAGGGCAAGGAGAAGATGAGGGAGAAGAAACCTCCCCAAACTTACCTCATCTCCTAAACCAGATTCATTTTCTCTTTCTTCAGTATCTTTACCACTTTCACCCTCACCATCTGCACAAGAAATCAGTTTTACTTTGTAAACAGAACTGTATTAAAAATGCACTATATCCAGACACACAGTAGTAAGGAAAAGAAGGCAATTTCAGTCTTAGAATGAACTGCTTGTTTACAATAACCCACAAAAACATCTTTGTGATACAGCCAATAGAATTCTCATGAGTTAGTAGAAATCGATCACTGTCAGATTTAATAACCAATTTTAACAGCTTCAGCCTAGCCTCTTTTCACAACAGCACATACCCTCTTCAGACTTGTAAGTGCCCAACTAAAATGAGGACCTGAAGTTGGTTTCCTTTAGGGAAGTCTTTAAATCCAAGTATTGTATTAGGCAGTTTTGAGACAGCAGTCCAAAACAGCACAGGCATCCCAAATCTGACTAAATTCTGATTTAGATAGCAAAGTACGATATCGCAGTTATCAGACATCCACCACTGTGGACACCTACATCCTAAGGGAACTCCCCTTTTCAGCAGGGAAATCTTTTGGCATACTGTTTTGGTTGAGGGATAAGCAGTTCTGTGCTCACCCTCTTTCTTATGCATGACTGCAGTGCAGCAACTGGCCAGAAAAGCATTGTACTCCCCTCAGCTCACTCAAAGTACATCTGGCTTGCATTGCGTGGATAAAACTATTCACAAACAGCAGTAAGCTTTCTATAAGACCTGGTGTCCAGTAGACCTTTGAACTGACAGGGACTGGAGAAGGAAAAAACCAAAAAAGAAAATAATAATAAGTAAATAAATAAAAACAAACAAAAAAGTACCTTTTTACTCTCCAGAATTCCCTGGACAAACTATAGGCTAAGCAACACAGAGGTGGTTTCTACTTTCTTACTGAGGCCACGTCACTGCGCTGAAGAGCAGGACCAGTTCTAGGCTGCTCTCCGATCAGCACGTAGGTTGTTGCCCTTCTAGGGTAACCAACTCTCTGTATTCTGCGTATTCTGTGAAGGAGGCCAGGCGCCCAACTGTTTTGATTTCCACTTTGGGTTTCAGTACCTAAGAAGCTGGCACTCCCACATCTCCATTTTAGGTGTCTAAGAACTAAACGTCAGCAACCACGGCATCATTCACAGAAAAGTCACCGGGGTTTGGCAAGTGTCTTCCTTTACTTCAAACTGAGGTCTTGCAGTGAGAATTTCTAGAAATTAAGTACCTTCTGCAATACTTTCTATCAAGAGTAAAAAAGAAATCTTATCTAAATCTGATGAACAGGATATATGATGGCATTTTACAACTTAACAGTCTGCCACTGGCTCAGTTAAAAACAGTAACAAAGCAGTGCTCAATTCTATCCTTGTCAGGTCATGCCTACATCTCTTAAGCACTACTTCAGTGTTTAAAAAAACCCAAAACAAAGTGTTCCTGAAGTTTGCTATTGCGCCATGCCTTTTTCTTTTTTCCCCCCGTTTTCCCTTTGTAACAGCCCCATGAAAAAAATGTCAATCTCAAGTCATTCCGTATTCCACAGGTCAAACCCCATCACCTTCAACTCCAGAAAACAAAGAAGGACATAATGACTACAATGAGATTGTAAAAATTATTAGGAACCGAAGAGGCTAGTAGAAAATATTCCTGACTATAGATACTGAGAAACCTCAGAGGAAACTCACATCTGTAGCCAATGAAAGCTGGCATCCACCAGCTTGCAGTTCTACTATCAACAAGGAAGCAGAGGGGGAAAAAAAAAAAAAAAATCCAGAGAGACCATTTTCAAGTCCTAGCCCAAATTACTTTTCTTTCACAGTACCTGAAGGAGGAGCCTCCCTTTCCATCTTCTTTGTATCCTTCATAAGCTCTCTTCTTGTCTCCTCCATTTCTCTTCTCTCTGTAGCAGAAAGAATCAGCAGAAGACAAATTCTCTAATGCTTTCAGATATGAAGAGGCAAAAGAGTGAGAGAAAAAAAAGGAAGATTTCAACCTGCAAATATAAAAGGAGGTGGGAAGCTAAGGGAAGCTAAGCAATTATTAAAGAGAGAGAAACTGGGAAGTCTCATGACAGCAAAGTGTAATCCTTCCCTCTGAAGCCCAAAATTGACTTGAAAGTCTTGGAACAGTCATACAAAAGCTAGCTGGGTTAGTTCTGCTCTGTGTTCAGTTTAGTAACTGAAAGTAAAGGTCTAAAATGGAATGTACTTTTGAAACATCAGGAACAGCTGTTCCAAGCAGAATTCTTTAAAAAAGTTGTGGAGCTAAACAGTGTTCCCCTGAGATTACCTGGACCTTATTTCTAACATTCAAACACACACTTTAACATGTTAAGTCATGTGTTGTAACTAACTAAATTGACTGACTGACTTAACAGAAGAATACTGGGATTGAGGTATCTCAGCCTTGCCACAGTAGCATATTAGGTAGAAAATCTATCTATGATTGCATCAAGGCTAGGTAAAAGAAAACCCATTCTGTAGTTCAGGAGCAAAGAGCAGGTAACAGAATAAGATCAAAAGGGAAATGTAGGACGATACAATGCTGAAATGCTGTACCTACAATTTATTGCTGACATAAAAAAATACATGCAGCATAACTAAAATCATTAAACATCTAGGTAAGGCTCTTGAATGGTAGAGAAGATGGATGAAGTTTGGTGTGGCAAGCATTGTGCCAACAGCGTACTCCATTCTCTAAGTGTTGGCGCAGGAACATCTGATGCTGAGTAAAGTCATACAGGCAAAAGCCATCAACACTCACGGAACATAGTGCAGAGATGGACAAAACCTACAAAGTTTCAGTCAGTAACACAAAATGATGTCAGTACTAAGGAAAAAAAACCCCATGGATATCCTCTAGGCTTCTAATTTTCCACACCAACCACTTGTCACTTTCTTTGTTCCTGCCAAGGAGGAGTGAAGTAAGAGGTAGAATCTTGCAGAGGCCTGAGGCTAAGGATTTTCTCATGGAAGTCAGGATAATGCCCTAGAAGTTAGGTGATCTGCTCTTTATTCATTACTATAGACTCAGAGAAATGCTAACAGAACATCAAAGCCATTGTTGAACAGTACCAGTAACCTCTGATACCGTAACACAAGATGATTGTATCCTTGGATGCCAAAGTACAGCTCGAGCTACTGAATCATTGATTTCTCCCTTGGGCAGCAGGGCAGACCTTTGCAGGCGTGCAATGCACTTCTAGAAAGCAACATAAAGGAGCAGCAGACATCAGTGTTTCAAGCCTACACTATTTTCAGGCTTTAACAAGAGTTGCTAAAATCAGTGACTAACAGAACAGTTCAAGGTACAACCCTCCCACAGAGGAGTAAGCAGGAAGACTTATGTTAAAGCTATTCCAGACACGTTTAAAGACAACAATGGGATTTTAACCACTTCAGGTACATACATCTGAAGTGTTCCAACATATGAACTATCTAGAAGGGAGAAAACACACATCACAGTGTACGAACATAAGACGACTGCTGGAAGCAGCCTTGAAAGTGAAGAAATACTGAGGAGGGCCATACTTTCTGCTTGTATTTATCTAAGAGCTATGAGCCACAGAATGCCACTTGCTGGAGGTTGTCAAAGAGAAAAAGAAGACTCGGAGCAAGGCAGGATTTGTGTATTCTAAGGTAACTGATGGTAATTATTGGCAATGCAATCCACAAACTAGTCCCTATTCGTGTCTTTATATATTTAATCAAACTACAAGCTGGCTTGCTCAACTTACCATCTTCTGCAGTATTTCTGTTTTCTTCTCCTGATTCTATTTCATCATCTTCTAAGTCCTCTCCCTCTTGTTTTAGCTCTCCCTTTGCAATTGGCTGCAACATATCAAGCTTTCTGAAGTCAGTATCTTCATCTGTTTTCTACAACAAGTTAAAAAATCAATTTATGTTTAAACTCAAGAATTAAATACAAGGGCCAACGTAGCTAATTAATGTCAATGGCACATTAAAAGGGCATATTGTTGCACAGACACTAATGGCTTTCAAATAAAGTATTAAGAATAAAACCCAGTAAAAAGATAGTAAATTTCTCTAACCTTTGCTGGCCAGCAGAACAACACACCTAGCCCAACAGGGAGAGCTAAAGTCAAGATGTAAAGAACCCAGAGCCATGGGTGGTCTTCTGCAGCAGTCACCAGTTGACTAAACATACCTGGCTATATTAAAAACAGTAACAAAAAAAATTTGCATTCACATCCCTCTCAAGACTTCAGTCAGTTCATAAAATGTACTGTATATATTTTAAGCTTTATATTGCCCAAAGAAAGCCCTTCTTTCCCTTTGTTTTTTCCAATGACTAAAACAATATTGGATTTCAGTACTAGTAAAGTAACAGCTTGACAGATTGCAAATAAACAGTTGGTGCTAGGTAAGAAAGAACAAACCCAGAAATTGTCTTCCCAACCCAATTCTAACTTAAACAGTAGAAGTAGGTAGGCAAGTGCCTGGTCCAGTAAGACTTCTGAAAAGACCACATCGGCAACTAAGGCAGGATTTGAGATGCACAGTTGAGTGAAGGGACTCAAAGGAGTATTTTTGGCTATTGTGTGTACAGGTATAGATGCAAGTCCAGACAAACCCAAACATTTCCAAAAAGGACAAGGTTGCAGGAAGAGGTGGCTTTCCTAATTGCATGGGCAGATATGCTGTTGCTACTTGCTTATCCTGTGTCAAACAGCAATGCTCAGGAATTGGCCACGTTTGCCACCAACCCACCGTTGCTTCCCCAGAACTGCAGGCCTGCTCTTGCCACTCAACCAAAGCAAATACAGGACCGTTAGAAAGCAGCTGTAGTCAGTCAAAGCAGCCACTAGAGGGGCTCACGATCCCGTACCCAGGACAAACTCATCCCACTGCACAGGAAAGAGCTCTAGAAATAACTGGGGCACGCAGTATATAAACAACATGTGGATGCACGCACAGAAACAGAACAACAGATGCAGCTCCATAAACATACGTGCACTGTTTTCAGAGCTGCACAATATACATCTAAGCAGCCAAAGGCCTAAAATTATTAAAGAGAAAATAATACATGACTATATGCATTCCCCATGGGGGGAAACCTCTAAAGAACATACATAATGGAGCTAGCCACAAGTGAAAGGAAAGATTAAAAATAAAAAGAGGTCTTTGAGTGTAAATAATTCATCTTCCATTTTCTGGCAGGTACTGAATTTCTGGTATCACTGTGAACAGCAAAAAAACTCATTAACTATAATTAAGCCAATTTCTCACTAGGTGTTTAAGTAAAATATAGTACCTTTTTAATTTCAAGAGGATATTATCTGGGAAAGGTAAAAAGCCAAGCTATGAGAAAGAAAACCCTATCATAGTTACTCAGGAAGATTATTAATTGCAGACAAATTAATATTCTGCCAGCATTAACTGACAGAAAATTCTTCCAACAGCACATCTTCCTCGCTATTTTTGGCTATCAACATAGTAAAGTTAATACCTCATTAGCACTTGCTACTAATTTCTTCAAGCCCCAGCCATCTGCTGCCCAACGATCTGCTACTTCTTTCTCTGAACATATAATGAAGTTATCGAAGTAGATATCGGATGTCATGGACCAGAGTTCTAAACCAATAGCACTGACAGTGGTCATCTCGAATGGGTGAGGGTCTTCAAAGTAGTCTGGGTTCGATATTTTCCGAGGGCTCCAGATCCCCTTTTAAAGAAAAAAAAGTAATCACGTTACCTATATCTCACTAAAAACAAACTGCGAAAGAAATTTAAAAATCGTTAGAACCTCCCAACTATTTTATATTCATCATTTAAAAAGACAAGCAGTAGAGTTTAACCTACATAAAACCAGAAGTGCAAACCATGTGTAGGATTTTGGCAGACAAGTCTCAATCTTCAGGCTTAGGACAGATACACATCTTGAAACTAATTTTTTTTGTCCACTCAGGGTTACAGTTGTAACCAGCTGTACAAAAGTACCTCTGTTTTTCCTGCTACTGGTGATTCTGCACACAGTCTTTGTAAACTTCCTAGAGTAAGTCTAGGAAAGATTTCCTAATACTGCAGGAAAATAAGACGCTGGTATTACTTCTTCCTCTAGTCTCTCCTTATGTAATATATAGTTTTGCCTTTTGCTCATCAATATAGCATATACATTTTTGTAAGGGCATTGGTCCATATTTTTTGGCCAGCAATGGAATCTTCTGAGGTAAACACCTATTCTCTGGTGGCCTCAGACCGCAGGGGAACTACATCCCGTGACCCACACAGCTCCTTCCAGTATATGTACATGTAAACTGACAGCTACTGTAACCAGAACTGTAAGGCAAAGTTTTAGGGAAGGAAAATTCAGCCTTATGATATCTGTGCAAATTAGAGCCAAGTTTTGTTTACAAACGTGCTTAGGCTCTTAAGCTCCAAGAAATCAGATTCAAGTACTCCCCAGCCATAATTAATGCAAAGTGACCCTCTGCAATATCTAACTGATTACCTCATATCAGGAGGGGAGGAGGGGAATTTATCCAAAACTGATGCTTCCACTAAAATTGAACTAGTAAGTCATCCTGCTTACTGAAAGGTTTCATTTTTTTAAATAAAAACCATTGTTCATTTGAAAGACCCACTTAAAACCCCAACAACAAAAGAGAAATATTTTATTAAATGACAATGTAATTCAGAATACTTAATATGTTCTGCAGAACTGTAAGTGGTATGAGTGCAAATCATTGTAAAAACCAATTTCTAACAGAGAAATTCTTGTTTTAATACAAGAAGCATTTCTATTTTCCGGTATACTTAATGAAAAAAGCAAATTAAATACAAAAAAGCTCAAAACGTTTAGTGAGAATATTCAGACTCCTTGTAAAACACAAATATACTGTAAAATAAGCCTAGATAAATATACCACTTTGACTCTCCTGCTCCGTTGAACTCTGCACCTTTTAACAACAACCTACAATATTGCTATTACCTGATAGTTAGGATTATCTATCATAGGTGCTTTCCATTTTCCTTTATAGTTCGGGTTATTCTTCATGGGACGCACCCAGTGTCCACAACCAGGTGCAGTCTCACACTTTGGATTTGGGATTTGAGGGGCTTCCCACTCCCCATCCATTTCTTCATCCCTACAGGGAAAAAAACACCAAGTTACAAACAGCAGATCTGTGATCAGACAGGCCTGAACACTAGCAGTCAGTCTGAAGTTAGGGTCCATTCACATTTTGCTACAACCAACTCAGAAGTTTGACCAGCTCACAGAACTTTACCAAAGGGCATAAACACTTCTTTTTTTTTTTTTAAAGGAGTGCTACAACCTTTTTTTTTTTCCTTCTTAGTCACATGTTCACAACCACCACAGCATGACTGAATGCAATTATATTCCTGCATCTGTAGACAACTTGAAACGCTTCTCTGTAAGATGCTCACAGATCCTTTTGAGACTATTATATGATGTTTTCAACTTGAACTATTTCATGGTTTAACATGATAGCAAATTCTTTCAAAGGGGTCCTTCATATTCTGTTTCTGTATCTTCAGAAAGCAAAATTGACATATTCATGTTTTTCTAAAAGCAGCCCCCCAAACCATCAAATATTTGGCCATACCTTACACACTCCAATTAACTACCTCAAAAGACAATGAGATTTGGATTGACTTCTGATCCCCAACTCAAATTCCCACAGAGAACAGGCAGGCCGATCTAGGAGACCGTTAACAACCAGCGCTGACTGATGGAGTTCTTACCAGTCCTTCGGTTTTTTTGCATTAGGGTCTGGAACATATTGTGGTTCATCGTCAAGCCATCCCTCAGGCTTAACAGCATCAGGATCTTCTATTTTGGAAGGCTCATCTTCATCCCTTCAATTACAGACTTAAGTTAGGAAATACAGCAGCCTGACATTGAACCAATGATCTGCTCAGAGGACTGTAACTGGCATGGAAGGGATGATTTTCAAAGGCATAACAGAATTAGACACACTGACCATGAGAATTAGACATCCAATTATCTGTTTGTAAATACTGTGTTATATTTATGTTGTTTCAAAGTCCTAGTAAGCCCTTAAACTGCTGCCATCAACTGGCAGGTGTCGATTAGGTCTTCCCTTTAAGTTTTTCCCTTCTCTTTCTGAGTTGCCATATGAACAGCAGTTCACACAGAGGGATATAGAAATCACTGAATGTAAATTAAGACTATATGGTGAAAAAACTCCCTCTTTCTAATCTTTCAGGTATAATTTTGGTTATTACTTGGAACCATGGAGGGTACAAATCAGCAAAAAGCACAATTACTTCTTTCCTTAGAAGATGACTGAATCCTGTACCCATCTCAATTACGTTTTCAAACATTAGTGCTTTTAGTAGTGAAACATATCACGATTGTCATTAACAAAACCCCAAAATAAAATCAGTCCAATCTTTCAAATTAATAACCTGCATGTAAAAGGTATTGTACAGATAAAAATGTTCTCCTTACCAGTCATCTGGTTTGACAGCATTTGGATCAGGTATTTTTGGTCTTTCATCCCAGTCGTCAGGCTTCTTATCACGTGGATCCTCGATTTCTTTGGGAGGGTTTACTGGAGGAACCATATCCTCAAGAAGACTTCCTTTGCCGACAACTGATTGGTCGATTAACATTTCAAATGTATCATCTGGTTTTAGCACTAAATTGAAAAAATTTTCATTAAAGAAATAAGGCAAGCATTCATTTTACAAATATGTTTAACCAAAACCTATATAATAACCACAGAACTTGGACAAAAAAAACATCAAACAGGATCCCCACTAGCAGAAGACTGACTCCCCACCCAGTACTGGATCTGGACACAAAACACTGAAGCTGCTACTGTGAGGATATATAACCAGTACCAGGCCAGCAAAAATGAAACCTCTAGCAAATTCAATTGCTGAAACACATCTGAGCACATTCTAAGAGATTTTTCAAACACCTCCCACTTAGCCAAAATTCTGCTTCGAGACAAAGAACTGTGTCAGTAACAGAGCTGGAGGATGATCAGAGCAGTATTTTCTCTGATTCCAACCTGACAGCCATCTCCCTCAAATGCCAGGCTGCGAATACAGAAACGCTCTTCAGGTGTTTAAGTACTTCAGCAAGTGTGAGCAAGCGAGAAGCAGGGTCACAGAACCGAGCCGTGTCAGACTCTGTAACAGCCGTGGTATCCAGATCCATTTCTATTAACCAGTGAGCACATTTGTAAGTGCTTAACAAATATGTTCAAATGTCCTACGAAGATTATTCATTCCAAGTAAATACTATTCCACTTGTATGGCAGTTTTATAAAAACGGGTGATGAAAACCAAAGTCTTACAATGACAGCCTGATAATAGCTAATGAAGTTCTTGCAGCCTTTTTTCAATAGGATTAAAATATCTATAAATGCAAAAATTAAACCCCCATATCACTTTAGATACAAGACAAAGAATTGATTTTTAGACTTATCAGTCACATAATGCATTAGATTTGCATAGTTCTATGGAGTCTATATGAACAATTATAACAAAATAAATGTAATGCGAGTCTAACTATCTTTAATCATAATTTCTAATAAACAGCCCAAATACAGCAACACATGTGTTCCTTTACCACAAGAACAGTGTTTCATTTCCCTCATTCTCATTATTTAAAAGTGAATCATAGAATGGTTTGGGTTGGAAGGGACCTTAAAGATCATCTAGTTCCAACCCCCCTGCCATGGGCAGGGACACCTTCCACTAGACCAGGTTGCTCAAAGCCACATCCAGCCTGGCCTTGAACACTTCCAGGGATGGGGCATCCACAGCTTCTCTGGGCAACCTGTTCCAGTGCCGCACCACCCTCTCCAGGAAGAACTTCTTCCTGATATCTAATCTCAACCTCCCCGCTTTCAATTTAAACCCATTCCCCCTTGTCCTGTCACTACAGGCCCTTGTAAAAAGTCCCCCCCAGCTTCCTTGTAGCCCCTTCAGGTACTGGAAGGCTGCAATAAGGTCTCCCTGGAGCCTTCTCTTCTCCAGGCTGAACAAGCCCAACTCTCTCAGCCTGTCCCCACAGCAGAGGGGCTCCAGCCCTCTGAGCATCTTTGTGGCCTCCTCTGGACTCGCTCCAACCGGTCTATATCCTTCCGATGTTGTGGATGAGTTTGCTATGGGACACCATGGTAATTTATTTTAAAGAACAAGAAGTTTGCCCGTGGCACAGCAGCTGAACATGCCTTCTGTTATCATTCAATGGAAGTTCAAAAGTGCAGTTGATTTTGCTGGATTTGCAGGATGCCACAGCTTAGCCCATTCTTCTCTCATTATTTATTCTTCCTCAGAAAGTAGAAAAAGGGGGGAAAAAAAAGAACTAAGAAATTAAACTTTCATCTCTGCTTCACTGTTCCTTGGTACAGAAAGAGATGTCACACGAATTAAAACCATATTCATTCATCTTCAGAGATTGCAGTAAGGCAAGTTCACGCACACCACTGCAGATGCAGGTGTGAGAATGCTGAACACGTGGAGAGTAGTTCTGTGTGACCTGCTGCAGATTTAACTGAGTTCCTGTGAACTCTGATGCCTTCCTAGAATATTGGACAGCTGTGGGGCTTTTAATGTTTTTCTTAACAAAAACATTTTTATTGTAATAAGTACTGAAAGTATTAATCAATTCTTCACGCTAAAGGCTGGACAGGACTGGTAGGTTTTTTTCCTGTAATTGAATATTAAACATCAGCATTTCAAAGGCACTTCTGTGTCCTGCAGTTAAGATCGGTCATTAAATCATTTAAGCCTAGTCATTAAATCATTTAAGTTCAAATTGTTAAGCAACCACCCCTCAGAATTAACAGACTATTACAGACAAAAAAGCAGACTCAAATACAAAGCTTCAGTGGGCTGAATCACATCTTTTAATCTCTCCTCCCCAATTTAAACTTTTAAGAATTAAACAATACCAAGAGTATACAGATGCGTCTTCTTGTCCAAATAGAATTTTTTTAGGTCTATGTCAGGACGTTTTGCATGTTTTTCATCATATTCTCCAGTTTTAGGATTCCTATGTCTGAAGATAAAGTGTAGTTTGTAATCTTCTCCACATTTATCTGGTCCAAACATAATAGTATAAGGTGTTTTGTCAAAAAAGTATTCCTGTAGAAGACAGAAAGATGAGCATGTGTTATCCTGTACATTTTATGAGTCATTTTGGGTACTTCTTTTCCTTGATGCTGTGGCATACAGCATAGTTACCTTTTTCTCAAAGGTTTTTAAAAAAAATAAAGTTGCTAGAATGTCCTCTATCACAGGCTAGACAGCTTATGTCTACACCCCAGTGCAGTGGCAGAAATATTAAGAGCTGAAACAACCAGTTCACATGTGCCAGAATGGAGACTTGGCTACAGCAGGCAGCTTTTTAAGCAAGAAACACCTGATCGCATTGGCGTAGAATCATACAACCATAGAACAGTTTGGGTTGGAAGGGACCTTAAAGACCATCTAGTTCCAACCCCCCTGCCATGGGCAGGGACACCTTCCACTAGACCAGGCTGCTCAAAGCCCCATCCAGCCTGGCCTTGAACACTTCCAGGGATGGGGCATCCACAGCTTCTCCGGGCAACCTGTTCCAGTGCCTCACCACCCTCTCCAGGATGAACTTCTTCCTGATATCCAACCTAAACCTGTCCACGTTCAATTTAAACCTGTTCCCCCTTCTCCTGTCGCTACAGGCCCTTGTAGTAATAAGAGTTTTGCAGGCAAGTTTGGAAAGGGCAGGCAAGTTCACATCAATATACTGGAAATAATCTACAAAATGGTCCAACATATTAAGGCACTTACTAATTTTTCACACTTGAACCTTCAAGCCTTTTCCTGGGAACAGATTCTCCACCACTTTGAGTTTCTAAATCCAAATCACGGCACTTTCTAAGATGCCATGTTGAATGCCCTAGGGTAAAACACCCCCCTGTTTCCCAAGTTATGAGTTGAGATTCTATGGCTTCTATTATTGCAGAAAGTCAGGCTAAACAGATGCAGAAGTCCTTTGTCCTGGATATAAGACATCACTTGTGCAGAACTAAGAGGAGTATGTTAATCACAGCCAACTCTTCATTCTAACTTCTGAAATTCACATTTTAGGATTTCTTGTGTGAATATAGATCTTAACAGCTTACTCTAAGTTTTAGACCACCTATAAATTTTCTTAAAATAAAAGGAAATTATAACAAGAATAACTTTATCAAATATTCCAGCAGTAAAAAATGCAGGACGCCAAAGGTTTTGTGTATACATACTAAATTACATGAGTATTACCTTGCCCAATCTTCTGTTTTAAGCATTCGTGAAGCTTTTAAGAATTTAGGATGCATTAGGAATGAATTTCTTACTGACATTTCACAAGAACAATTATGCATTCCTCAGATGAACAACTGACAGCAAATGTTAAGCACGAGGACCTACCAGATTCAAATCATCACTACTGGAGAGAAGTTTAACGTATGCACCACCACAGTCAATGCCATCTTGAAAATTCACTTCGTATCTGGGCAAAGAGGAAGTTAAAATTCCAAGTATCAGAGAAATACAAATTACCTTCTAATCTGCAGTTCTAATTATGAATAAAGGAAGACTGTGTATTAGTCATTACTGTCAAAACATTGCTACGTGACCAAAAGGCTTCAATCGTCATACAAGCTAATACAGCAGCGATGTCAGACAAAAAAACCTGCCACGGTAGCAATTGCTACCGTTGGAATCACCAGGAAGAAAAATTTCAAGGTGATATCAATGCCCATGCAAATGTCAAAGGGAAGTAGGCAGGAGTTTTAGAAAGTTTGTGCCATTTTTGAAACCACCAGTACAACACACTGCATTTAGCCAGAGGAATTATGTGGCTATGTAAGCACACCAAAGGCAGGCTGAGTGTCTGAAAAAAGTAGTCATATTGCCAGAGTGCTCAGCACTGGTATTGCTACAATGCATTCAAGATTCACGTTGCTTCTATGGAGCTACACAGAAGTAGCCTGTGCATGGAAAAACACTACTCAATCTACATACGATTTAGGTCTTTCAGAGTAAGACTGAAAACTAATAAGCTTTTTCAGCAATCTTGTAAAATACTAGATTTCTTTCCAAAAACATTTGTTTTGGACAGAATGTTTTGGGCATTAAGTTTAAATATCACTTCTTAACACCTGTAATACAATCTTACTTGATTATTAAATCATTCATACTTACAGTTGTGATAGCCGTGGATACGATAGGTCGATGTTACATGGAAGTCAGTACTTTTCTACAGGGATTCACATGACTTTCCTGTCTTAAGGATTTTACTAATAATAAATATTAAGTAAAAAATCTGAGGGATTACTTACTGAACAATCAAAGGTTTACTATTGAAAACAAATGGCTTTGTTAGCATAGCTGATATTGCATGATGTTTTGCCACTGATTTTAACACTAATCCTCTGTCTCCAGGCACCGTGTTTTCTTTCAGCTCTTCTGCTTCCCATCTTCCTAAAACACACACAGAGTCTTTGTAAAAAATGTAGGCTGAGGTAAAGAAACCACAGCCTTGGTGAAAGCTAAAAGTTAACAGCAAACAAAGACCAGTTGCCAACATGAGGAAGAAATCTTGAAATCTGATGTCAAAGTCATCGAACAGTAACCATCCAATTCATTACTGGTAATTCTACCCTGGATACAAAACGTGACTCAAGTCCATCTTACACTTCCCCAAACTAACTGCTCTACAGCACTCAAATATAAAAAACCCACAAATTTGCTGCTTACATCTTTCTATCAAATCTGTGACAGAATGTTTTAACCAGCACTTTTCAAGAAATAGAGACCACTAGAATTCCAGCTGCACAGTTAGATGATAAAGTAAAACCTGTGTAATACCATCTAACCCAATGTTCTGGCTCAGACAGCAAGGAGAAAAGAAAGCTTAGGGAAAAATAGTGCAAGTAGCTGGAACGGCAAGAAGTGACAAGCTTTTTCTTTTTTCTTTCCCCAAGCAGCTGTTTCTACATCAGTAAAAATCCCAGTTTTGTAACTGCTATAGCCAAAAGAAAGGAAATTATCAAAACCTCAGGTTTGCGTGCAAAATGGAATTTTCCACCTTAAAAAAAAGCCAGCCATGTCCTCCAAATTAGGACAAAACCACATCCTTACCACAGCCCAAGCCAATGAAATTGAATAGAAAAACATATAGATTTAACTTTTTTTTTTTAACATCAGAACACTTTTAATTAAGTTTATTTAATTTTAAGCACAAACCTGTAGCATTTGTGAATGACCATTGGATTTCAGTTTAATTGCAATATTGCATGAAAGAATCAATACACTTTAGATGTGTCATTTTATCCAAGCCTAATGCTTGCATTGTTAATATAGAAACTCCTTCAAAGCTCTGGTTCATATTTAAGGAGTTTTAGTGTAAAAATCTATTTCAGCTTTTTTTTTTTTGAATTGTCAGATAATTAAAGGGATGCCTACACGCTGTGTATGCATAGCTGTACACAGAAAAGCCCACTCTCCCATTTCACTGCAAAGGTATTACTTCTAGTCAATTAAAATACTGCTCGCTTTCAATAGTTTAAAGGTGCCGTATGTGTCAAGTATACGTTATTCCTGGCTCTTCTCAAATTTACAGGAATCTGCAAGACAGCTTTAATACTGTAGATCAGTATCTTTAGACTGTGCTATCCCACAATGCCTAGAGGAACATAAACTATTTCTCCAGATTTTAGATTTATTCCTACCCTTGTCATAAAAAAAGCCTTAGTCACAAGGCACGGCGTAAGCTAGATACCTGCATTGTTCTTCCCTTCCTGCTTATACAGAATTACAATCTTTCAGGTCAAATCTAATCACGTGGGAGATAAAACCCCCTCTTCCCCCTCCCCCACCAAAGTCCTTCCAAGAATTATCAGATTTGATCTTAAAGACAAGCAAACAAGGCTACAGTTTCAAAAATAATAAATTATATAATTATAAAATTCTCCAATTCTGGCAAAAAATAGAGTTTCCCAAGTTTGGCACAAATACAGCTGATTACACACATGGGCAATATCCAAAGAATAAGATTTCTAAGGGCAGTTATACTTTCTCAGAAATTAGCAGCACGACATTCACCGATTTATTTTTCCCCCCCAGGAATGAACACAGCACAAAAGAAAGACCACTTTTACAATTCATTGTAATCTTGAATAAAGCCTGTGTCAACGTGAACAAGAGAAGACAATGTAATGAGTTCTTCAGCTTGTGTTTTAGGGAAGATTCATAAACTCTGAAATCCAAACGAAACAGCTGTTTACTTTTACTCAACTGAAGTGCCATTTGTGAAGGGTTATTACAGAAGGGCAGATACATATGTCAACAGCAAATCCCTCATTTCCTCTAGTCTGCTAAGCAGGAGGGAAGAAAATTCCCTCCTCCGCAATAGTGTTCCTTCCCAGAAACTAAGACCAAGCAGGAACGTCACGCAAAACAAGATCCAAAAAAAAATTAAATTGGAAAATAGTTCAAAAAAGTCTTTTCACCACAAACTTTGTTAATGTTGAATTGACTGGGTGACTTTAAGCAAATATGGCTGTTCTGATATTACAGCCAATTTCTATCTAGCATGAGTCCAAGTAATCCAAGACATGTCAGTTCTCACAAGCATCTCCTCTGCAACTTCTTTATTTTTACCAGTTACTTCTGGTAACTGCTAAACCTAAAAACATCTCTTCTGTACTCTTTTCCACACCAAAGTTCTACAAGTTACGTTTGCTTTCTATTAACATTAATTATTCCATTTGACATAAGAGCAGCAGCAAATACTTTTCCTTGCAGCAGAAAATTTTTCTGTTCTCCCCACTTTCTCTTGAATGAAATAAATTCAGGTTGCAAAATTCTTGCCAAAGATAACACATCTGTCACAGTTTAAAATTCCACTCAAGCATGCAATTCTAGCCTGGGAATTTACAAGCCAAGTGCAAACCCCAGTGACAAAACCCATCAAAACTTTTTTGTTATTACTTTCCAAAATTGTTTTAGACTGCTGTAAGAATAAATTGTACAAGAACCACTGGAAAAACCTTACATTCAAGCACAGGGGATCTGAAAAAGTGTTTTAAATAAAAATGTCATTCAGTTTAACTTGGTTGTTTCACAGGCTAGGCCCGGAAACCAACCCATGAATCAGTAGGACACAGCAACACAGAACCGGCTGCCTCAGAAACATGTTTAACAACTGAAATTGAAATAGTAAATCTCTCTGAAACCATTTCAGAGAAGGTAGTTCTCAAGAAGCCATCAGCAGTGAATATTCAGATGCCAGAGGGTATTCTATTATCATTCATTGCAATAGAAGTGAAGTTCAGAGTAAGGGGCAGTTATTTCTCAAAGAGCAACAGAACATCAGAAACTGTGCAGTGGGGGTAAACAGTAAACCCACGTACCATCATATTTAGTAATTTCTTCCGTGTCTTCTTTCTTGGTTTTAGACAGCACCCACCTAAAACAAAAAGAGTACTAGTCACTGAACTATCTATGCAAAGCTGTATTATTTAGCAAGCACAGGAAACCCTTTTGCTTCTAGGCTGTGAACCTGGGATGACAACGTTGACAGTCAGCATCACAGGACTTCATGTGGTTCAAAGAACATGAAAAGAAAAATTAAAATAGATTAGTCTAATATAGCACTTCAAAAACACTTCCCAAGAATGTAAAGGAACATACAATTATAACTGTGTATTAATTCAATAATTCTGAATAAACTTCAGTTTTATACACAAGCTGAGTCTGCCAGAATCTAAGAACATTATGTAAACATACAATGTCAAGAATACATAGAAAATAGTGAGGTTCAAGTGCAAAACCTTCAATACAAGAAAAAAAAAATCACACAGAGAAGCCTTATCACTGTCTGACATTAACAGTACATGTGCATTGCAGAGGATGAAAGGAAGAGGTAAACGTGTCCGAATGAGAAATGCAGTTATGCACTGAGAGATTCCAAATGTATTGCACGAAGGGGATCGCAACAAGGCAGACAAACTCATCTCCTTGATACCACAAACAAGGCAAACTCGGTTTACCAAACTGAGGTTACCAAAAAGATATCCACATGCCCTACGCACACAGTGTTTGGAGGAGAAAAAAAACCCAACAAATGAAAGGAAAAAAGAGGCAGTCCACCCCCCTCAGCTGGTCATACAGTAGTTGTGTCCTCAGCCACACACAGGAATAGCTTAAGCCAACAGTGTCACTGAATTCTTCATTGTATCAACTACAACACTACGTTCTCATGATTATTCTCTAAAGAACTATTTTCATTCATTCTGAGCATCTTCTGCATGCAGTATTTCAGAGCCGAATACTTCACCTTTTCTGCTTGAATGTCAGTCCGATTTCGTCACTGCTAACAGAGATGCTAGAAAAGCTTCACAGCATAAATGGCAAACGAGATCCTTGGTCTAGCAGGAGAAAGACCAGTGAGGATATAAAACATCTCTACAAGTCAGGCCAGAGAATTTCAAGGCTCGTTCTCAAAAACACTAGTCTGGTGATTTACACAGTCGACTTACATGTACTCTTTTCCCCAGTTTTAGGGAAGAAAGGCAACACGCTGCTTACTTTCCCATACATCTTTGTTCCATACTTGTTCTGTGAATTACATACAGCTAGACCAAAAAGTCCCAAGCATTGTAGCTAAAGCTTTGACTATTAGATTTGGTAGGAAGGCAAACTGATCTTAGAACCGATCTCACAAAGTTACAAGTTGGGATGAATGATACCATTCAAGTACCCTAGTTAAGTTTTTGCACATGTTAGTCAAGGTTTTAACTTGTTCGGGCTTTTTTATTTTTATTTTTTTTTTCAGCAACCATTATCAGATCTTCTATTTAATGATTTTTTCCTGTCATCATTGGTACACTGCTTTTGTACTGTACTTCTTAACGTTTGGAAGCAACATATGACCAAAAGAAATGCTACACCGAAAATGGGAGGTGGTTAACTTATTTTCTTTCTAAATTTGGTCTAAATAGGTAACAAAAATAACATGAAAGAACAGAATGTGAATAATGAGAGACTAATGTTCAGTGGCCTGAAGTTCCCTGTAACTCTACAGAAAAGAACAGTTAAGAAACAATTGGATAAAGGGAGTAAGATTAAACCTTACGAAAGTTATTGGTGCCTGCTACCACGTAGTTTTGTTTGCAGTATAAATTGTGCATCCCCAAGAGACATACGTGTCTTATGATGGCATAACCTCACTCCTGCAGTGGTTGGATCCCAGTCTTCCCACAGGAAGTAAGAAATTGGCAGCTTTAAGTTCTATCATAATGAATGTACCATATTGCACCTCCTTTCACCAATCTGGCTCTTCACAGAAGAGTTAGTTTTTATTCCATCAATTTTAGTAACATATGAAAACACCTTCTTTCACGATTCTTCACAAGTCAAGAGATAGCTTTTTTGTTCAACAGCATCAAAGTGTACAGGAAACAAACATACCAATATCTGATTAGTCATTGAAAAACAGGTACTTACTTTCACATTTTAAAAGCTTTTCTCATAGCAAGAAAGTAACAACTCATCACACCAGCTCTTACTAAAAAGATCTAAAAAGATTTCTACTGCCTTCACAGATTCCACCTGGATGCACACTTACTCAACTTGAGCCAGGGCAGCACCCTAACCTGGCTTGATCCAAAAAAAGAAATGTCAGTACAGATCACATTTACATGGTACTCATTTGTTTCTCCTTGATATTCTACTCCTTTTACATCCAAGCTAGAAAGAGGACTGCAAGCCAAGCTGGTTTCCAACTAAAAGTAGTTAAGTTTGTTCCAGAAATAGAAGGTAATACTACATTCACTCTTATTGACACGGCATTGGTGGCAACTATGGCTCACAATACACAGCTTTTCACTGAGTAACACAAGCCATCCAGGTGCAGTTGTTATTAGTAAGGTGTCACATTGCCACAGTGTTAGAAGAAAACATACGAGACAGAGAAGACAGAAATTCCTGGCTTAACAATTGCTGAGATAAACATGGAAGATTTTTCTAACATTTCAGTGCAGTAAGGTCAAACTACCTAGGAACGCTTGCATTGTCTCATAAATATCTAATTCTTACTGAGAATGGGAAGCAATACAACAAATTAATTAAAAAATCTGCTAAAAGGAAGACTTCCCCAATAGAGGTTTTCTCTACAAAGCTGAAGGTGCTGCCTTCTTACACGTACCTAAGTGCATGGGAAGAGTTTGCTACTGCAGTCTAATGGCTGTGCACGTCACCCTGCACCTAGTTAAACTCAGTTGGCTAAATTTTAAAATTATATTATTTTTCTTAATGTCCATAAACCCAGACTCTATTAAAAGCTTCCTTAAAACACAAAAAACCAGCAACATACCTGAAATGTTAACTGTCTGGCTTAACATTATGATGTATTTGGAGCAAGCATTACCAGCCTCACAATTCTAACCCCTGTGAAAATTAATTTTCACAAGGATACTAGCAGAAAAATGAATACAAAGTAAGTCCTGCCACTGTAAGTTAAGGTGCTGAAAGTAAAAGTTTGTAATTTTAAGGCATAGGCTTACCCAGTCAATTCTCCATCAAAGGTTTCTGTAAAATACACTTCTCCAGTTGGCTTTGGGGTCTGGTACACAACCTAAAAGACACGTACAGAGAGAGGCTCTAACATCAATTACAATTTTTCATGTGAAATACACCATCATACCTCCAGAAACAGTCCGCCCAGACAGACCACCAGATTTTGTTCATTAGAAGCCTCCAACAGCATAAACCACCCTGCCCTGCCCTGCCCCTCTCATTTCTACAGTTTGGGGGCATCCCTCTTAACAGCGAGCAACTTCACATCTATGAATTTCAACAGTTGCCTCCTGCGCTCAAAGTGCGTAACTAAAGTGCTGTTACATATCTTACGTGTAACAAAACGCCAGAAAATTCACTGGACTTACACCAGTTCTCTCCTTCCTCCCTATTTCTCTCTATACACGTTTTCTGTTCTTCTGTGTTCCTGCCTACTTGGCACATTGCAGTTGGGCTAGACACTAAGAAGTTGAAAAAATAATTAATGAGTATTGCCCACATCTATTACAAAGTACAGCATAACAAATGCAGAAAGATTTTCTGGCAGTAAAGACAGTGTCAAAAGGCAGCTGCGACTGATGAAATCAAGAAACTGGTCTAAAGTCAAAAATCTCAGTCAGACCAAGATGCTTTCTGCTTTCTTCTCCAGAAATGGCATATTAGGACTTACAACAAAAGGTTCTGTAGCACAAGCTAGAAAACCTTCATGACTATACACCACAGTCAGGAGATCTGATTTTACAGTCTGGCACAGCAGAATCCTTCATTAAGCTTGTCCTACGTGTCACACGCAGCAACTGAAGAACTCAGACTGGTGGGTTTGACACCCACTCTGTTGTCAACTGCATGTTAACCTGCTCTTTCTAAAATGCATTTGTCCACCAATTTCTCTACTAGTTATAACTACCTATCTTATAATTAAACAAGCTTTAATTAAAGACTTCTGTAATCTTACCGCTAAGGAAGATTTCTCTCTGTCAATGTCAGCTTCTTGAGACTGCTTGTCAAAATCCTCCACTTCCACATCTGCATCCAGACTTTCTTTGTTTTCAATTTCCGCAGTCGCTGAGCTAATTAGCAGGACACCCAAGCACAGCCAGTCCCACTGGAAGCGCATCCTGCTTATCTGAAGAACTGAAGGTTTTAAATTTTAAGTATCATTGCAAGGATATTATCAATACTATTTCAATTTTACCCCAGACTTTATCTACAAGAGAAAAAAAACCCATATTAAAATAATAAGAAATGACGACCGTAAAGTATTGTCACTTTTTAGTGAAGTGCTGTATCTTAATTTGAAAAATTTATTACACAGCCCTGACTTAGATTCCTTTTCCCTCTCCTGCTGGCCCTATGGAAGTGCTGGTAACCTGTTCCCTTCCCTTGCCAGGCCACAAATCTGGCAAGAATTTGACTGCAGCATATACACGTTTTTAAGAACTAAGTAAGATTGCTTTTATTTTTCTCATTCCTTAAAAATCTGAACAAGTAATCAGATTGAATCAGTCTCTACAGTGTAGCAAAAAGAAACATCCCTTCCATTAGGGAAAATAAATCTGATAGATTTTGGACATATTATTATCCGCAGCCAGAATTACTAGTTTGTATTTGGCTCTTCTTCCACAGTCTACATTTAGATGAGTGCAGAGTTTATATCAAGTCCAGCTGTGTCAAAAGACAGTATAAGATTGTTTCAGAAAACATTTTTTGTTTCAAAATAACCCAATAAATGCAAAAGTTTAATCTGAAATCCAAATATCTTCCTAATTTCAGGGAAACATGAAAATCTTCAATCCGTCTAAGTATGAATGTCAACAGCAGATAACGACCCCAGCCTCTCAGTCTAATCTGCTGTGAAAAAGAAAAGATTGTTGCCCAGTATTTTTTGCTTCCCATCAGCAGCACATACAAATCCAGCTTTATATTAGAGTATCCAGTGGTTTGGAGCAGTGTAGTTACCAAGCACATGACTACGCCAGTTTCCTCAATGGTCTTGCCAAAAACGTTTCTTTCTGAAATTGTTTTTGTCTGAATTTGGGAACAGAAGTAAGACAGATTCTAGATACCACTACACAGGTATTGATCCTTTGGATCTTACTAACTTCCATCCACAGTAAGTTTTAAAAAGACAGACTAACACTGATATTTAGTGTGCTGTTTTAAGACATTTTCAGACCTTACATTACTTTTAGCCATGACTAGTCACACTAAATATTCTGCTACTGAGGTGCTTTCTGGGACTGAGAAAGCAGTCAACATTCTTAGTTATATCACCACTCTTGAGAGACTAAAATGTTTACCACCACAGCCCTAAATATCCCAGCAATTCAAGATATCACCTTATACTGGAAGTGTGTGTGTCTCTTTTTTCCTGGCTTTATCAGATTTGCTAAAAAATTCAAATGTTAGAATCACACCAATAATTATTTACAATTCAATTTATAACATCTGCAAGTTCTAACAAGCAACACATACGGAGATCACACAGTATCTAGGGCTAAAAAAAACTCACATCCCACTACAACTGTACCACAAATACCCAAAAAGGAAACTAATTACGTTTTCCTTATCCCTTTTACGATCTATGAATATTGACTACACTGAGCCAAAACCCAGAGGTACCATGAAGCAGCAAAGGGTTTCACACACTAGTACTATGTCAATATTAGGAAACCATCAAAATCCTCCCTCCCTGGGACAACCGCCAATTTCCTGCAAAACCACATTAATTATGTTACCATGGGTTTTTTTGTATCCCCCACTATTACCCACAATCCATTCCATTCTTTGTGACTTTTCACCCTGCTGTGTATTTAGCTTGAGGATGGCAAGTCCACGGGTCCCTCTTTTCTCAGTTATTAACACAGTGACATCTCAAAAGTTATCTACAAAGTTTACTACTTCTTTTGGTATTCAGTGTTTTTTAAATTTTAGTCAAGAACTAAATATTGTTATTCCTTGGCCAACTCCAGAACTGAAAAAAACCTTGCCTTGAAGACATGAAAGTCATTTAGTTTATCGTAAGTGAACATTCAATGTTATGGTGTATTTTTGAAAACCTCTGTCTATCACTCTTAGTTTTACCACCCCCATTTTCTTGTTCTTAATCATCATATTAGGAGAAAAAATTGAATTTCCTATCAATACCTTGTGGGAGTCCTTAGTTCAAATGGCATATATTAATCAGGTATTACACTTGCTTTTTTAGCATGAAACTTGCCTACCTTACTTTAGCTAGTTTGTCATGCAGGTGGTCTCCTCTTCTCCTAAAGCAGATGAAGAGATACACCTGAAATGTATTGACAAAAATGTATTTTGTGTATGATCCAAAATGCCTTTCACTTACACAGCTGCGATTTTACTGTCATTAGCCTCATTCACTTTTGTTCCGTACATAGACTAGCAAGGGCATCCAAGAAATCAGACTAGTCCTCACTTTTCCACATGGTTCCCTTCCAAAATTCCTGATGCTTTCACTTCATTCATGCCGAGTCTTACCACTACTCCCTGATCCTAGCCTAGGACATTCCCAGTCTTCTATCTCTTACTTTCCCTTCAAGAAGAGAAGGAACCCTTTTTTGACACATTTTTAATATAATCCCAGAAACACTGAAATATGTTATCAAGAACAATTACAGTTATCGCTCAATTGCCAGGCAGACATTGTTTTAAGTAAGACCGTTTAATCTTATTTAAATAAGACCATTAAATCTTTTGCTTTTGTGAACTCTGAACACAGATAACTGCAGCACATCTACACATCAGAAGAGACATCTGAGCCAGCAGTACTACTGTAAATAAAGTGTGCTCTTGGGACCAGCAACAGTGATGCAACATCAGCATAATATTGCACCTGAAGTAACGAGCCACTGTTCCCGAGACACATACTAGTATTTAGGAAAGACAACGGGCATAAACTGCAAGAATACTCATTTTTATCCCCTGGAGGACAGGCAAGCAGTGGCACACGCTGCCTAGTCTGTCCTTGGACTCTTCCAAGACCAACTGGATAAAGCTCTAAGCAATGTGAACTGGCCGCAGTGCTGTGAGCAGCAGGTTGGAGTAGAGAATCCCGTGGTCCCTTCCCACCTGAACGATTTGATTTCTGCAGACAGAAGCACAGTGCAAGCACGCCAACCTTCAGACCTCTGCACCACCCTCTTCTGCATACTCTACTCATGCCATTAACTTAACAGCATTGTTACTCCATTTGGTGCAGAACTAAACAGAGGTCAGGATCTTTTAGACTGTTTGATTTTTCCTTGGACTTGGAAGAGGGTCATGCCTTTTTCACAAAGCTGAGTTGTAAGCAGAAAGGGAGTAAGACTGCCACGAACAGCCTTTCTCACTCAGAGGTCTAAAGCTCCGGCATCCAGTACCAACACGTGGGCTTTTCCTAGGGCCAAATACCAACTCCGCCCTGGGCATCGGAAAGGGGTGTTTCTCCCCCCATCCCATGTGTTCATCCATAACCTCATTCCTCCCCCGAACAGCCACATCGGCATCAACCTGACGGAAGACAGCATCCAGCTGAAACTGCTCCATGGAAAGCACCCCGGAGTTCTTACGCGACTTTCAATTTTTCCTTTATTTTGTGTGACAATTGTACCCTCCTATCTTTCAATTAAGCGTGAAGAGCACCGGCTGAAACGAACGCCAAAGGCGCCTCGAGCACCGCCGCACTCCTGCGGATGCCTTTTCACGCTCCTTTGTTGCTACAGTTGGCCCGAGCAAACCCTCCGCCACAAGAGGCTCCTCTCGCAAGCCAAAG